AATAATGTTAAATATCCCAGATGCGAGTAGAAATAATCTTGATTTACGTCATTAAAAATCCACAATTCAGTCAAACTGATGTCATATTTGGAATCTACATGTAAAATTACACTTAGAAATGTGGTTTTAAAAATAGTTTATCAACTTTGAAAATCTAATTTTCTTTGAAAATATGACTTCTAGGTCGGGGAGATTCCCCATAGACCCCATGTTTTAAACCACAAAAAGTGAAATATCTTTTCTTGTTTTGGGCAGATAAAATTTTCTTTCACTGGATATATTTTAATTTGTATAACTATCAGATACATAAGGGTAATATAAAAAGTGAACCACTAAAACTGATGCATATTCAAGTTTAAGGGAATTTTGTAATACCCTGCCATGTTAATTCCCCGAATCAGCCAACTGGTTGCCAAACTTGTAACTACCTACTCGCATCTGAGTAATTACAATGTGCAATGTACATACATGTATGCTAACAAGGCAGCTGAAAAGTTATGCATTTAAAAGCACAGTCGTCTAGACGACTGGACGTGTACATATATTATATTATGCAGTTTTATCATAAAATATATATTTGCTTTTTATATGTATACTTGAATAAACAATAATATTGCTCTAATATTAATAACGTTTGACTCATGACTTATGTAAACTATGTCTGTATCAACTCACACACTTGTTTAAATACGATACAATGTTTGATTTGCTTTAATATTAAACCAAGAAAAAATAACTCATAATAAGCATTTCAAGTTGGAGATCATTAGACAGGATTTAAAAGATGGCGACACTTCTATAAAAATGAATGTATTATGTATTAATACAAACAATTTTGCCATCTTTCAATGACATTGATAAAAGCTTAAAATATGAAGCTTGACAGATCAAAAATATTTTTGATAATTCATTGTAAGCGTTGATGTGGTCCATTTGGTGTCAAATGAAAAATAATAGTCCATGGTATGAAATCTCTAGGACGTCTAATAAAGGAGCTGGTAGCACACTATAGTGCAGCGATATTTGACCTAACATTAGCATACCTACATATGTCCCCTAATAATTTTTATTATAACCGTTTAATATACTTCCGGCTTTAAGGCTGAATTATGCCTGCCATTAACAGAGGTCAAAAAATTTCCAAAAAATAAACTTCCAAACTTTCACAATTAGGAGTACACAATGCAATAGAAAATAATAAAATATGATTTTAAGTATATGATTTAGGTTTCTAAGCTAAACGTTTGAGGTTATTTTTCTTATCAATACCAAAAGATTATGTCATCAGTGTATCTACATTTTGTATTGTTTCTCGGGTATTAATAAGATAAATGCTACAAATGAATCACTTTTATATTAGAATGACTTATGCTTAAATTATGCTAGGTTTTCACAAAAAGGGTCTCAATACGTTTTAAGATATGAACTTTTATTCAGCGGTGAACATTATCAATAAAGGTGGGCCTATTGCTCTTCCTTGACTAATTGCGACTACAGCTAAAATTCTATTTCTCGTAGTCAGTTGCTTATGAAACAACCATCACGACTTGGTCGAATTCATGAATAATTGCGAAAAATCGTTATCATTATCTTCCTAAAATTTGATGATATCCTTCGGTAAGGTCAAAGAAGAAACAACCATCAGAAAACTTGATGATAGCCACAACTAACGTCGAGGAAGAATTTTAAGGCGTTCGACTGCATATAACTCTAATTGATTATTAGACATGCCCTTGGAATATATGAACATGCAAATACCTCTGTAACATCGAATTAGATATGAATCTTACCTATTTGTTATTGTATTATGTTTTATAAAACATCGACAATAATTTGTTGTCAGACCCTTTACGATTATATGGAAAAATTCTGGTAATAAAATGTTTTAACTGGTAAGAAAACTAATACGTTCCCAATCAAAAAAATTACCTAAATATTCCATACAATTTTGTTGAATCGGCTTAGCTCATATTTGAAAAATCAAACAAAATCTGAAAAACACACTTGTGTAATTACACTAATTAAACACCGACATCTACAGTAAAATCATAGTAATTTTGACATTATGATATTCAAATTTTTTGTTCGTATGCTTAGAATAACAGTCTGTGTCTTATAAAATGTATAAAAGTTCGAATCAAAATATTTACGTTTCGACCCGAAAGCCGGACGTTTTTTCAGCAAATGGTATTTTAAAAGAATCAAGACATATACACCTTCATAAATATTGCTTCGAATGTTGCTGTGCTATAGTGTGCTACGGATCCTTCATATTCGGAAGTCATACCATGGACTATAAGGTTCTTATCAATACATTGGATATACACTCCCCTCCATAAGTTTGACAACCTTAGCTCCATCATTGAACTATGTGTTAAAGCCTCTTTACGTTTGAATTTGTATTTACTTAATCGGCGACAAAATAACGTTTAATATTGATGGAAAAGTAATCTGACTTTATTTCCAATACCTCCAAATTTCTTTTAAAACGGGTATACTTTTTGCCGATTTTCTTGTAACAAAAATTATTTCATACAACTACTCTTTACAAAATCATTGACATGGCTTTTTACAATGCAACCCACCTGAAATTCTTTGTAAAGCTAGGAAATGGGCCAAAAGTGAATTTCGCGAGACAAAAATGGCGATCATTTTGAAAATAGGCAATATTTTGAACTAGGAGTCAAAAGGGAGTGTTTTGTATTGATGATTATCAAAAATAACTTAAAACGGGAATCCTATCGACAGCGATTTGAACGCAAATGGTCCAAAAGTTGACTTCACAAGACAGATGGACAAATCAATGTTAAAATGGCTGAAAATAAAAAAAGGTTAATTTTTTGCCGATTTTTTATAACAAATTTATTTCATATAACTACTCTTCACATTAAAATGGCTTTTTACAATGCAGGACACCTGAATTTATTTTCTAAAGCTAGGAAATGGGTCAAAAGTGAATTTCGCGAGACAAAAATGGCGGCCATCTTGAAAATAGGCGAGCTTTTGAACCTGGGGTCATAATAGGGGAGTTTTCTGTTTTGATATTGAACAAAGATTACTTAATACGGGAATCCAGAGGCTTTAAAACGTGCCACTATTGTTGGTCCAAACGTGGATTTCGCAAGACAGATGGAGAAATCAATGTTAACTAAAATGGCTGAAAACAGAAAAAAACGTAAATAATTATTGCTGATTTTTTTGTAATAAAATTATTTCATACAAAACTACTCTTTACATTGACATGGATTTTGACAATGCAGGACACCTGAAATTATTTGTAAAGCTAGGAAATGAGTCAGAAATGAATTTCACGAGACAAAAATAGCGGCAATCTTGAAAATAAGAGAGCCAGGAGTCATAGGAGAGTTTTCTGTATTGATGTTGAACAAAAATAACTTAACTGTCGGAAATCCTAGCGCACGCACGCACGCACGCACTGACAGACGGACAGACGGGCAAGTGAGTGAGTGCAAGAGCTCACCATGTGAGCTAAAAACGTGAACAGGTGATTAATTATTACGAAGATAGAAAGCAATGATCTAAACTAGCAAATAAAATGAAGTTATACAAAGTCATGTGTTAATACTTGTGATATAGGTATCGATTGGGAAGGATTAACTAGAAATCGACAACTCCACGGAGTAGCAAATCCCAACGAACACTATGTAAATCACGAAACTGCACAGTCACAATGTAATATTTACCACCATACTCTTCCCTTCACTAAATAATTGAGATCATTGTATTATCTTATAACCATACTTAGCAATATCTCAAGTAATGGTCAATTCCTGCTCCAGGCAGCCATATTGAATTTGAATTGAGGCATAAATCAGAAAAACGATACCATATTTGTGATCTACTCTAAGATTCCTTCAACTTGAGTATAATATAGCCATACTTCTAAGAGATCAGTAAATCATTGCGAAATCCCACAAAGCTATACTTCAAAAGCATCTCAAAATTAGTGCAAATTTCTGTTTTCCCAAATTTCCGTTTTCATGGCCCCTGGAGGCCAAGGTGAAAAAACGGAATATATGTGAATTATTTATATTGTTTGAATATACAAATTTCCACCAAATATTGCGCAAATCTGTTGACTAGTATTCGAGTTATCTTCCGGACGGACGGACGGATGAACGGACTGACGGAGGGTCGAACTGACGGACGGAGGGCTTCACTATATCCCTACCGAACTTCGTTCGTTGGGATAATTACGAATACATAGATCTTTACAGAATGCTGGATTGCAATTGTTTTCAGTTCGTAAATCGGCAGATACATTATTTCGTAATTCCTTCAAATTGTATTCTTTTAATTTAGACGCCGTTTAAGTACGAATTTTTGATAACACATTCAATTTAGATTGTAATATTGGTTATGCAATAACAATGTCAAATGTGGACAATGGACATATCCTCTAAATGTATCTCTATTTCTCTATTAATAACTTCTTAAATCACAACGTTTACATCGATTCTTTAACTGTCTCACTAGTGATCCACTCGATTACGCTTGTTACTGGAACGGCTCGATTTGGTGACAAAATGTCGGAACGTCGAAGGTACGATTTTTCTTTTTTCCTTATTTTAAGCGTTGTTGGCAGATTTCCCACGACATTTTTATCACAAACGTGTAACAGTATCATATTTTTAAAAAAATGTACATATTTGCGAACAAATAGTTCATAATTCCCCACTTAAGTTACATAAACGGTATTTCGAAAAACAGTTAAGATCCGCACTTTTTATCCAAACCGTTTATGTTTCTAAAGTGAGGAATTAAATCGACGATTTTGTTGTCTTCTGAGCTATTTTTTCGCAAACATATACATTTTGTAAAACATATAATACTGATATACGTTTGTGGGAAAAAACGTCATGGGAATTTTGCCTACAACGCGTGAAATAAGGAAAAAGGAAAAATCGTACCTTCGACGTTCCGACATTTTGTTACCAAATCGAACCGTTTGGGTAAGCAGCGCAATCGAGCGGATCACCTGTGTGTCTGCTGTCGATTCGTCTATTAGTCTTGCTTCTCGGTACACATTCGTATAAACATATCTCCGGGGGAGTTCACATCATCAGACATATTCATCTGTATGAACCATAAATGCCAAACACCCCGATCAATAGTAATCCGTCCATCCTTAAAATATATTTTATGATATCGTGTTAAGATTGTAAATTATTTGCCTTTGGGTCGGCTACATTTTACCCACTCTTTACTATTTAAAAACATGGCTGAAATACTCACTCATCGAGAGTACATTGATAACCAGTACAGTTCTACTTGAATAATTTATCGTACAGCTATATAATGGCATGTAATACAATACTTGAAATTGAAATTACGACTGACTTAATGAATGAACTTTTATTTTATGAACGTACGTATGTTATCTTCTTGAAATATTTCTCAGATCTTTCTTGTGGCGATTTTAAACATTTTCCATAATATGTTACCCATTCCTCTTTCTCCACCCATCCATCAGCTGTAACAAAAGGAAATACGTACAAATAACAATATAACAACGAGTAAAATGATACACAGACTATCATAGAAACCGATTATTTATGTGATAGTAAAAGCACATTATCAAAGCAGTGAACGCAAAATTCCGTTGCTGGAGAACTTACAATTTCCAAGTCTATCAAATACATCAAAGTAAACGTCCATGTAACGTAAGTACCATTGTGGGATTTGAAGGGTCTTAGTTTGAATCTGCCGGCACATTTTTTCCAAGGCATTTAGCCATTCGTCGATGGTAACCTTTTAAAAAGGAATGCAGACTAACACCCCAGTCACATTTGTCGCACGGAGGCCGTGCGTCGACCGCAGATCAATTAAATCAGTGTATTTCTGCGGCGAGCGTAGGAAAACTACGCTCGCCTTGCGGCCTCAGTACGGCGTATCCAGTTTTTTACAGGCCGCAAGGTCGCCGTAGAAATTATAACTCGGAGTTATAATATTTGTTCATTTCTGAGGTCCCCGTAGAAATCATCTGGCTCAACAAGATATAATCATTATTTGTCAATGTTTCCCGATCACTTTTCATTTGATATTACATCCTAGCACTATGAATAACATTTATAAATTGTCCATATGTTAATAAAATGAAAAAAGTATTATTTATCAACAGAAATTTAAAATTCACCGTGCGGCTGCCGTGGGAAATGTGACTGCAAAAGTATGAGAGCGCAGAAATTCCACGGCGAGCGTAGAAATATTACTGGCCGCAGAAATGATAGACCGCAAGGACGCCGTAGAAAATGTAACTGGGGTGTTACAAAAACATTTTTAACTACATCTAGCAATTTATGTATCTTACGCCCCTATCACAACAAACTGGTTCTCAACCGTTCTTTCCAGTCCTGCAAAAAGTCGTAAAACGCGCTAAATCTGGCTGTGGTCGGGAAATATGTCAAAAATAATTAGCTACTTCGTTCATAAACAGTCTCCAAAAAATGAATCATTTCAAAATTCTAAGATCACCTTCCTTCCCGTCTGGGAACGTTCTTGAAGTTCGTAAATAGACCTTAGAAAGTTGCAGCTACGTTCATTCCGTTTGCACACAATTTAAAACCAATTTTGAAGAACGCAGTGGCAACTTGTTTGGTGCGAAAGCTATATTTTCGTATAACTCGTGCATACGCAGTCTTTAATCATACGCTCTTAATCAGTTTAAACCCGTTTACAATTAGTTCTACCTCGTTCTCAATACGTCCTCAGACAGTTCAACTCGTTGTAAAAACGTCCCTATTAGGATTGACGTACGACGGTACCGTTCGCAATACGTCCAGGTCGTCGTCAGTGCGTTGTCAATTGTTCTAATTGTAGAACGTGGCGACCGTGAGAACATTTTGGGCATGTTTTGAGTTCTAGAGGACCTACCCGGGTCTAAGTACGAATCCGTTAGTACACAGTTGAAGCGTTTTCGAGAACGTAGTGAGAACTAGTTTGGTGTGATAGTAGGGCAACAAGTTCATAAGCAATCTTCGATACATCCTGAATCAGTTTAAACCCTATTTGCCAGACATTTCAACTCATTCTAAAAACGTTCCAATTAACCTTACCCCCCTATCACACCAAACTCGTTCTTACCCGTTCTTGCCAGTCCTACGAAAACGTCTGGCTGTGGTCGGGAAATATGTCTGAAATAATTAGCTTCTTCGTTCTTAAACAGTCTTCAATACGTCCTTCTCGTTCTCAGTTCGTTCAGGTCGCACCACGTCGGTGTGCAGCGTCGTATAACGCTTCCCTTAGTCTAGAAGGTCACTATGACCTGATTACAGAACGGTATGGTCGCCATCGAATTTTGAATCGTTTCAAAATGCTAAAATCACCTTCCCGTCTGAGAAAGTTCATGAAGTTCGTAAATAGACCTTAGAAAGTTGCAAATATGTTCATTCCGCTCGCACACAGTTTAACACCAGTTTTGAAGAACGAAGTGGCAACTTGTTTGGTGTGTACCTTTATAAATTCGTAGCATAGTCAACAGTGGCTCGATTTTCATGAAATAAAGCATATTGGAAAGATAAATCAATATGATAAATTTGTATCTATCAAACAGAGAAAAAATCACCTTCTTTGTATTATCTAGAGATTTAGAAACAAGGTAACAATCAATTTTTTATGAATTTCAATTTTATTGGAATCAAGTTTTAACTATCATAACTTTGCCTCTCTTCCCCAATCAATCTAGTTTTGTTTACTCCAAATAGTGACCCCCACCATCCCTGAAGACATTGTGGTTCAAAATCTTTTCCCCATTCCTTTATTTCAATTAACAATGATTTTCCAATGAGTCAAAAATCAAACTTATTGTTGTTTTACCAGCTTTAACCATTGGCTTTTGGCACAACTCTTCTAGTTTTTGTCATATGATGATTACAAATAAAACCAAACTAAAGCTAACCGTGTCGTCCAAGTTAGTGTCTGCAATATCTTTCACTGCCTTCCACATGTTGCTAAAAACGTCATTTAATCTCACCCACATTGGACTGCCCTCTGTCCAGTTGGTCAGGGTGAGAATATTCTGCATAAATGAAATCTTACATCATTTATTTTGACTCATTGATAGTCACGTAATTAACCGTGTATGTCTCTTGTATTAGGGATCTTGAAGCTTTTTGGAATCTGAAAGTGAGCTTTACAGGGAAAGTAAAAGTCAGATTCCAGGGGTCATATCAATAGTTCAGTAAGTGTAATTGATAAATCAATAGTGTCAAATCTAGGCACAAATGTGAACTCTTTAGACAATAGTATACCCAAGGAGTGGGTATCGACATGGATATACTTTATCCGCTAAAAGTCGACAGTCTCCGGGAATACTATACATCTCTACATACATTTCTGGCCTGTTAATTTCATGGAATGTTCCATATGTTTGAGCCGATGGGAAATGGGAGATCATTCCTCATATTTTTCCACTCTTCAAGAGAAGGCCAGCGTACATTGGTTATATTACAACAATTGTGAACTGTATTATCTTCCTTCGAGAGTGACTAATATCCAGGACCGGAAGATGATATATTGTGATGAAAATTGATTTTTGTGTTTTCGTTTCACCATTACCGATTTTGAAAAGAAATTCCGGAAATAAGGAAGTCAATGTAATTATTCTTTCCAAATCGGAAAACGAAGCCATTTTACAGGAATTTCAGTGGAACTGGTGAGTTTAGGCGAGTGGCGGATCAATTATTGGCGTATAATCTTTCATAGGAACTTTGATTTTAAATCATTTTCGAGTTAATTGATCACGTTTTTAGTATTTTAGTGACATGATCATCCACGGAAATTTTATATTATCGCCCATTAGGGTACCTCACCGGCATACTAACCTAGTTTTTTGGCGGTATTAAGCAATCAGATTTATGCAGTCCAAAACGTCCGCGCGGGGCATATAAAAGGAATTTGACCAGTTCAATTGTGTCAAGTTGTTGTGCGACAAAGAATTAACGACGGATTTACAGACTGGAACAACCACGGGGTCGTAAGTAAGAATATTTTGATGAGTAATTGACGAATGATTTTTGATCAAATATCATCACAGTTTGTCTATTTTTTAGCCTGGACATTTTGAACACTGTTATAGAGATTCATATCGGATTGTATCTATTACTATATTTGCCGAGATTGTGTGTTTATTTTTATGCATTATTTTTACTCAACATTATATTGTTATTTGGGAGAATTGCAACCAACTTGCAACCCCATTTTGGTGCAAGGGATATTTGCACCCACAATAATCAATTGAAGGATATCTGGGAGAGTTGCAACCAACTTTGCAACCCCATATCGGTGCAAGGAATATTTGCACCCATTATAACCACCTCACTGCGTGAAAAATGGAATTTCTAGACTAAGCACGTCTAGAAACTAAGTCTAAGCACGCCGGGTGCTTAGGCGTGACTAGTTTTGACACGTCTAGGTACGCGATGAAACCAACTCTAGACATCTCTAGGCACGTCTAAGCACACGCAGTGCAAAGACGTGCTTAGGGTGTGACAAAAAGTCTTGGCACGCCTTGAGACTAATGATTGAAATCTAGAATAAAGTAATTATCGAATCAGGTTAATGTATATTGTTATAAGCAATTATGATCAACATTCGTAATTTAGACATATTTTCACTGAAATATACTAATTTCTTTTATCTATTTTATTTATTATTTTGTATAACGAACTGTTCACGTATACCATGACGTTTTACATATATGATTGAATAATAAATCACGTACTGTTTAAAGCTTGTACAATACCAAACAAGCTGTACTGATAACTAGTAAACATATGTTTTCCCGGGCATCTATCAAGTTGTCAATCAAAGCAAGATACTAGAATAGTATTATTATTGTGCGTCTGACCAAATGGATGAAAAAACTACGTGTTCATATTGTGTATGCAATGTATCATTACTAATTGATATAGGGCAGGGGCGAAGCCAGCTTTCATTCAAGATGGGGGGGGGGTGCGATCGCCAAAAACTTTTCGGTTTTCAGTCACGGGGTTGCGATTGTTGCATAAACAAGCCAAAAAAAAAAGATTTATTTTGAACTTTACAAAAATTTCTTCAAAATTGAGCTTTTTCTTTTTCTTTCTCATGGTTTTATCTTTATTGCACCCCCCCCCTTGCTTCGCCTATGGACGCAACTAGCATATTCATTTAGTTGCCTCTCCCGGTAGATACGTGGAGTTTCTAGACCATCCTACGTCTAGAAATTGCAAGAATTCCACATCGATACTTGCGAATCATATTGAAATTAATCTTTTTAAGCAAACAAGAATTGTGTACGTTACGCTAAAAACAAAAACTCCTTTGCACAATTACAGAACGTTGATTCAAAATAGTTTTTTGAAACCCTTTTTTAAAGAGTACTTTCTCCTATAGTGCAGGAAATAATATTTTGGACGGTGGTCGATATTACATACACCCCCCCCTCCATAAAATTAGTAACAGGATCCCTTTTTCGGCCACCTATCTAATCAAAGCCTGATTATGATTGGCGATTTAGATAAATTCGTCAAATATCACAAATAACTGAACCACTAGATCTAGCATTGCAATTGAGGAAATAATTAGATTTAAATATTGATATGCTTCGAAATGAAAACACACGATTGCCAATCTAATGAGAGCGCAGAAATTCCACGGCGAGCGTAGAAATATTACTGGCCGCAGAAATGATAGACCGCAAGGTCGCCGTAGAAAATGTAACTGGGGTGTTACAAAAACATTTTTAACTACATCTAGCAATTTATGTATCTTACGCCCCTATCACAACAAACTGGTTTTCAACCGTTCTTTCCAGT